GTTTTGTACGACTTTTCGTTTTTGAGCAAGAGTGTTCACATACACACAGGCACAGAGACCATTTTGCGAGACTAGGTTTTTTGGACAAGGTTTGGTGGAAACCACAAAACGAGTATTTCCGTTGAGAACTCGGATACGGAAATTTTCACGATCGCAATACTTTCCTTTACTATATACTTCATATATAGGTAAGTGAAAGTTAAATATAAAAATCTGGTGCGCGCATTAGACAGGAGTGAAAAGTCATTTATTTATTTAGTTGTTCCATATGCCTCACAATTGAAGAATAACAAACCAGGTGATTCAATTCATTCAAAGTGTATTTACTATCCCAAATTATATATATATGTATTCTTATTGTTTCTTGTCACTCAGTGTCACAAACGTACTAGGTTCCCGAATTCACAACAACAGTTAAACACCCTCAAAAAGTCTATATCCAGTGCCGGAGTTTTGTAAAAGGAAATATTTACAATTCCCGCCAAAAAAAAAAAAGAATATTTACAATTAAACCTTTAACATATTATTTAATAAGTAGAATATATTGAGTAGAATATATCTTCAACATCTTCCTCCCTCAAACCTGATCGTACTTCAAAGGCTTCAGATACTTCTTGTGTCAAGATTCGCCATTTAGGATCATTCTTACACGCCTTGATCATTCCCACCAATTTTCCTGGAATTTCTAGTTCATTCATAATGTTCCGAAGACAGTTTTTATCCATGGAATAATTGACTACGTTGAATTTGACAAATAAGATGTGCATATCCTCAGCTACTTGCCATAGTTTTTTGAGTTCGTATTTCAGGATGAAGATATAGTCTAGCGTGCTCCTTTCACTTTTTGGTGACAGTCTTTTATAATTTCATAATATAGATATAAAAAGTTTTGGAGGGTATTGGTAATTATATTATATACTGCTGGAAGGAGTGGTATGGTTCTGTAATTATTTTACGCATGCATGGAGTCCTTCTTTAGGTTATGACAGAATAGATCCATGTTCCAGGTTTTGTTTTAATATTCACGAGTGTAAATAACTTGGTTCCCATACTAAACGGAAGGAATAATTACTATTCCCGCCAAAAAGGTTATTAACAATTAACTTTTAACAGGTTATTTACAGTACAAATTATAAATGAATGAATGAATGAAATGAAAATAATTTTATTATTCTGGGACTAGTGTTCCTTTAGAACAAGTTAAAGTACAGAACATATATTAATATTCTGGTGTGTCCATAAAATACAATTAAATATTTACAGAATGATTAGGAATACAATAAAATTATAGATAATAAAAAGGTATAAATATAAAATAAGCAGAGTAAGTAAACAAAATATCAATGAATCACAAAATAATCAAAGTATCTGGGTGTACTTTGAGATTATTACAGCTTAAATTTTTAAGTGCATTTCGTGATCAATCGGATTGGGAATGGAGTAGGTGTTTGAAGAGGAGAGATTTGAAAGAAGACATTGATTTTGCATGTCGAATATTTGAGGATATAGAGTTCCAGAGGGAGACAACTTGAATTAAAAAGGATTTATCGAACGCAGCCGTTCGGTGAGAAGAATTATAGAGGTCGGACGTACGGGATCTGGAGCGGAGTGATTGAAAGGAGCGTTTGAAATGTTGGAACTGCAGAATATAGCCGGGTAGCCGAGTTCTAATGGCCTGGTATAGGAAGGTAGTAAGGAAATATTGACGGCGGTAGGACGGATAAAGCCATTCAACTCGGTGTAAAACTGGGTAATATGCATGTCCCTTGAGATCCTGAAGATAAAGCGGACTGAGCAATTCATTAGACGTTTAAGTTTAGCTTCGAGTACTCCCGAGAGTCCACCATACAGTCGTAGTCGAAGTGGGGGAAAACAAGAGATGAGACCAGGAGTTGACGGGTTTTGAACGGAAGATAACGTAGATAGTTAGACTGTTTCAGGGTGGATATAGTACAGCGGGAAATTCGGAAGATGTGTGGTTTCCAGGAGAGGGTTTGATCGAGGGTAACGCCAACGTTTTTGTATGAAAGGAGATAGATGAGCTGTTCAGAAGAAGATTGGGAAGTACTGAAATGGATTTGAGTAATGAGGGGGATCCGATCAGGATGGCTCTTTTCTTCTCCGTATTTAATGTGAGCTTATTCCCATGCGCATATTCTATTGATGTTTTGTTGCAGTTTCAGGATGACATTAGAGGAATCCGCCGGGTTGAAGAGGCTGGGGTGTACTTGATTGTCCTGACTTTAAGAGGAGCATGACGGTCTAGGATAATGTGCAGTTAATTGGTTAAAGTTTCTACGATAAAATCAACGGAGTTAGAGAAGTATAGGTCGTTCCATTGGATAGCGTCAGAGTTTCGGATGATAGGAGATTGAGGTTTCTAAAACAAATAGATCGGGGACAGAGTAGAGGAACAGAAGGGTTATAGGAGACCTGTATGAGATCATGAGCAGACAAAAAAAAGGAACCGGGTGCTGTGATGAGGCGATGAGTTTATCAGGAGAGTCAATAATGCAAAGATCGAGCCAAGAGTCTGAGTATTGGATGCGATGGGTAGGGTTGTACGGGACTATATACGAGAGTAGAGGAGGTTTGATAAACAGGTTTGGTCAGAAGAAGGAAATAATAGATTGGTATTGAAGTCTCCGGAAAGAACAATATTAGAGTAGGAAGGAGTCAGTTCGTAGAGGATGGTCTCGAATTTTTCATTAAAGGCCACTCTAGGAGGTCGGCAGATGACACCAATGAGCAATAGAGATGAGGAGGTGGATATTTCAGCAAAAAGAAATTCGATATGTGGGGAGACGGAAAGTGGACAGAGACAAAGCAAGGATTTTGGATTTCAGGCTATCATGGACAAAAATGGCTACTCCGCCTCCGGTTCTATTTTCTCTATCGTGACGGAGTAAGGTATAGGGTTAGGGGGAGTAGGGTATATTAGGGAATGAAACTTGAGAGGATGTGATCGTGGGTTTTAGCCAAGTTTCAGAGACAGCGATTAGGTGGTAGAAGTTGAGGAGGAAGAAATCTTGGAATTCATCTATGTGGGCTAAAAGTGACTGTGCGTTAACATGAGAGGGTAATAGGACATTAGTGATAAGAGATGGTAGATTGATTGATCCGAGATACACTGTAGCTGCTGAAACAATAATAACAAAACTATTGAAAAGTAGAAACTAGAAAAAATAGGTAGAAGAAATAATCGAGAGAGTATCCTATAATCAACGGATATAAACAAAAAACGGATATAAACAAATATAAATATAAAATAAAAATATACTCTGGCGAAAAATGAACAATAATACTAATACAAATAATAATGAAACTGGCAACAATAAACACATAAACAAAATTGAAAGAAATAGTAAAGTTATAGAAGTTAAGTAAACAGAAGAAAGTAGCTAGGAAACAAGGTGGTGGGTTGGAGGAACGAGAGCAGAGAAGTCAAGACGTCAAGGTCAGAAGGTGAATTTCGTAGTTGTAAATTCACTTACTGACCGTCGGTTTGCCTACAATTCACTTCGCCATCACCAAACCAAACATATTTTATTTTTCCAGCCGCCCTCCTCTGTCTGGCTAGCCAGTACAGGTGCCTGTTGGTCGAGGTCATAGCTTCTCCGATGAAAATTTTGTGAACAGCGTTCTCCTGCCAGCCGATGTGACGAGTAGATTAATAAACACTCTTACCACTTTACGTTTATGAATCAGCTCATCTCTTTGCGTTTGTCGGACAAATCCGAATAATAGTGGACCGAGAGTGCCATCTTGACGAGTTCTGATCCTCTCTACGCTGTCCACATCTTCCACCTTTAGGCTTAGATCCAGCGTCCACACTCACTACCAGACCTATAGGATTTTCACCAGGAATTCCTCTAATCTCTGAAGTTTTAATCAGGTGATGTTGCTCGGATATGTTTAGTTTTATTTCGAGCACCGACACTCGGGTTTTTAGAGTCGAATCCTCCAAAACCATGCCATCTATTTTCGAGTTTTGAGCTTCCAGAAGCAACTCTAACGTTTTTAATTGCTCTGAATTTTGGAAAGTCATAGATGCCTGGGTTTCCAATGATGATGTAATATCCTTCAGGTCGGCATTACCTTCAACGGAACTTCTCAGGCTCTTAACCTCCGTTGTATACTCTTGGATTGCAGAGAGCAGCAACTGCGATGCAGTGTCCCCAATAGTATGCTGCTAGCTCATGCTTCTTTCGGTAGACGAACTATTTTTTTTGGAGCTTGTCGCAATTCGGAAATTTCCAAGTCATTTATTTTTTTTGCGATTCAATGTCTTTTATTTCTACATTTAAACATTTCTCGTGATATATCGCTTAGCAGGTAGGAGTGAAACAAATTAACGTTTTTTTTATCTTCCCTTGACAGGATCTGCTTGCATAACGGGCAATTGATCATCGTTATTTATTATTTAGAGAAATATTCAAGAGAAAAGGGAAAATAAAAAAATAAATAAAGAAGATCGTGAGATTTCTGAAGACGATGGACATAACCTCCCAAGTGACTAAGACAAGTCAGTCGAATTAATTATTGCGCAGCATGCGCTCCCCACTACAAGGCAATATGTCGACTCACCGCTTATAGACGTGCAATTTAAGTACTTTTTCTCGTTCCACTATGTTTTTTTATATTAAAGACTATTCTCCGATGACTTCTTCAGTGAGAGTAGAACGGTTCACCGATGAACACTTTGTAATTTAGTCTCAGTTTAAGTTCCAAATTATTACTAGCACTACGTAAAGTAAGATGTAAATAACTGTCTATGTTTACGTGGCGAGAGCATTGGACACACTCCATCGAAATGGTGAGCTAATTTTAAATTATTAACCTCAATATTTTATCAGAAGATACATTTAAGTTTGTTTGTGTTGAAATAACAAAGGTGTTTGCCTTGAGGTGTGGCATTATTGTAGATAAGATATAGGTTTTAAGTAGTAAATACTTGAGGCTTTTAAGGAAAAGAAATTTTTGTAAGACAGAGGTGAATAGGCGATTGCTTGATGAAGTCAATCATGCTGCTTCTGCTTAGTGTCCTGTCTTGGATTTCATTTACTTCTCAAGTTCTAGTTGAAAACCTAGACGATGAAATTGATTATTATATCGATAACCTCATTAATCCAGGTATTTCCTTCTTTACCTATGATGTAATTAGACTTCCAGATATTCAAGATACCAACTACTTTTTATCAGGAGGAACCCTTAAAGTAAAACCTATCATAAGGACGGATAATTCGGTCTTAATGATAAAGGATAACCACATGTTATTCAACGCATCTGTCGGCTTGCAAGGATTAGAAATAGCCTATAGTGTGAATATCACTTATAATGTTATAACTCTTCATTATAATTTGGAAGTTTCATTCACCGGGATATCTCAGGAAGCAGATTTCCTGGTAACACACCAAGACGGCCAAAGTTGTTCAGCTACTGTCACCAATGCTCGAATTCAATTTGGAAACATACATGTGAAGCTTCGTGGATTTTCATCAGAATTTTTTAATTTTCTTTTAAAAATAATATTGGAAAGAGATGATTTTAAATCGAAAATTACTGATTTCGTCAATGACAAAACTGATTTATATTTGATTCATTTAAATAAGCATTTAATCTTCAACTGCTATAAGATGTTCATTAGCAGCTGAAAGAACTTGCTATAGAATCATTTTAATGGTTTCATGCCACTAATATGTCATGTGTAAGGTTACTGCAACCACAAACATGTAATTTATAATTATGACATGATGTAATGTTCATAAAAATAAAATAAAATAAAGCATTAAAAAGTTTTTTATTGATCATTAAGTGTTTGATTATTAAATGGCCCAACTTAAATGTTAAGCACTTTCACATAGTAAGTTTGGTCATTAAAGTTATACTTAAAAAAACAATGTCTTTTAAAGATCTGGAAATTAAACATTTGGTGTATTTTCTGTGTTTCTTAAGTCAAAATAAAAATAATTAAAAACAAGCAAAATTGAGGATTTATATTATAATATATGATATAAAAAGAATACCAATCGCCTTATAACCCGTTTGCAGATTTTTTAAATTTAATTATTTGTTTGACAAAGTCTTGCAAAATTTCACTTTGCTCAAAAAACATAAACATGTAAACGGGTTTTGATAAGCCGTCAGATAAGAGTAGCCGCTGATGATATAGTTCAACTTTAGGATACTGATGTAACTGTTCTGAGTTACTAAAATCATACACACAGACTTTCCAGTCTGGTTGGGGAGGAGCTGACCTCGCCCCTCCCCCTAAAAAAAGTCTCGGGAGTCTATATTACTATAACAATTATGAGTGGTAATTAAAATAATCAACATAATTATTGTAAAAGCTACAATAAAATACTATATATTTCAAAATAAATTTAAATGTTATTATTATATTTTTTTTTGCGTATGGGTATATTTGCTACAACAACTAATTCATAAAACAGGGAAGAGGAAAGAATATCTGAGGCTTGAAGTACGGGCCTAATCTGTCCTATGTTAAAGAAAGGCACCATGTATGAGTGTAATAATTATAAGCACTCATTCCGGTTGCCTACTAGATAATAACCAATATCCCTAAACCGAATATATCCGTATTACGAAAATACAATAGGCGACCACCAAGCTGGATTCAGAAAAGGAAGGAGCACCCTAGACCGAGTCTTCATTCTAAAACAAGTACTCGAAAAACGATGGGAAGTAGTTGAGGACGTCCACGCCCTATTTGTCGATTTCAAAACAGATTATGATTCTATGGACATGAAATGTCTTTAGAAAATCATGACTGAATTGAGAGTTACCGGTAAATTGGTGAGATTGACAAGGGCGTATACAAATGACACTAAATGTCGAGTCCGAATACAAGGAGAAGTATCGGCAGGCAGATGTACTGTCTCCGATGTTGTTCAACTTAGCTCTGGAGGAGGGGAAAAGAACATCTCAAGAAAATGGAGTGGTCCACGTCGGAATGAATCATAAAATCCTTGGATACGCAGATGATATAGCTGTCCTTGGAAGTAATCAAGAGGATATTGTGAATCTCGCTAAGACTCTGATAAGAGAGGCAGAACAAATCGGCCTACAAGTTCATGAAGAAAAAACTAAATATATGATAAGCGGAAAATTCCACCCGAATAACAGGATCTGCATAGAAGGGAAATCGTTCCAGAAAGCAAAAAAATTCAAATACCTCGGCTCCGCAATAACACAATGAATGACCAACGATCAGAAATACACCCGCATATGACTAGCACGAAAAGTATTAAAATCCCAAATTACGGATGTACAATGCTATGATAAAAGTCAGTTTTAATATATATATATATATATATATATATATATATATATATATATATATATATATATATGTATATATGTCTTTGAGATCTGGACATTAACCAGCGCCCAATAAAAAAGTATTGAAAGATTTGAGAGAAAAATCCGCCGCACAATAACCGGAGCGACTAATCTGGGATCAGAGTACTAACACACGGAGAAGAAAGACCAATAAGGAACTGCTTACAAAAACTGGTCAATCAATATTCCATGGTATGAAGGCAAGGAGGTTAAGATGGGTAGAGCATGTAGCAATCCATCTAGAAGCCTATACGTAACAATGAGTGCCTCAATTGGGGGCAAAATACCACGTGGAAGGCCAAAAAAGCAGAAGGGTAGATAGAATTAACAAAGGTGCTATAGAGCTGCGTGCAGATAACTGGAAAGAAATAGCCCAAGATAGGCAAAGATGGAGCGAGGCTTGTTTATGATGCAAAAGATCAAAAAGGTCTGTAATGATAACAGAAAAAACAAAACAAAAATAGGTGTACTTGAAAATACGTTAGCAAAACAATTGAATATATTACATATATATATATATTTTTATTTGAAGGTTTAATGCAGTGAGATTAACTCTCAATTCCCCGATGTTTCAAATTTGCTGCGGGAAATATAATTAAAAATAGAAGGGTGGGCATGAATAAATCATGAAATCCTAGGATAGGCTGCTACATATAATCATCTATGAATATAAACTAAAATTTCAATGATAGGAACGCAGGCTGTAATAAAAAACTTGTGTACCTACTTCTAGCTCTTAGCTTAGTCTTCTAATCTACTTTTCTTAACTGATTTTAGATAAAACATTTTATTCATTCATGTAGATTAATTGTTATTGATTTAATTTTTGTTCTTCGAAATATTGGGAGGGAAGAGGCGAAATGATATTCTTGGACCTATATTTTTATTGGGTAGGAAGATCGCCTCAAGTCTGTGCCTATGACTACAATATTGATAACTTACAATTTTATATATTGTTAGTGTTATTTTTTCTGAATATAGTTGATATTTGCAATGTATTGAAGACGACCGAAGAAGATGGCGTTGTATACTTTTTATCCGTTTCAGGAGCTCAAACACAATTATATTTTCGTTGGTTTCAAGTATATCTATTGTGGGTGTGTGTTTATACATACACACACACACACACGCACACACACATATATATAAATTACTACTTCATTTTTTCCGGTCGGCGCTATATACCATGTAGATCTTTAGATTACACCATGTATCTATCTATTTTGGCACATCAGCCATGGATGGACCCTGGGGTCGAGAGACGTTACTTGGGCACAACCAGTCTCTATGAAGTGAATACGCTTAATTATTAACTGATAAAAAAAAAATCGGCATTTGATATCGGTCTCATAACCTCCTTGACCAAACAATGATATTTCCTTAAAAATTATTGAACCCAAGAATCTTCATGGTTTTTAGCAGTGCAAATATTTATTTTTAATAATGCGTATGCTTTTTGTATTGTAATCTCCTACTTTATTTTCTCTGACCATTTCTTTTACTTACTGCTTTATCGGGATCAGATAATTGTTTGGATGAATTTTAATAATGTTTATTAAAAATAAAAAATCAATACAATAAATATAAGGAAGAGATGATAGCTTGGCCTAATGACCGTCAACAACAATTAAGAACATGACGTAATTCTATATTGTAAAACTTAACATTAAATTCCATTCAAGGAGGCGGTGTAGTAAAACCGAGTCCAGTTTAAATTCACCTAATCGGTAACTTAGCAACAGGAACTGCATCGATTAAAAGAGGCAGCCACTGTAGCGAGTCTCGACCGGAGCGACTCCAGTGGCTGGAGTGGGAATGGTGAGCCCTGGCCATCATTGACCGTATTCTGGGCTCACTGAAACAGTCAAATTGCAGAATTGTCTATCTGCTCTCGTCCAATCGAAGGTAAAATTTCAACAGTTATCTGTGTTTTTGTTAAATGTTGATCAATGATTACAAATTAAGTTAAATCTTAATTTGGCAAATATTTTTATAAGAAATTTAGTAGGGCAAGAGATGGGAGTAAAACCCTAATTGACATTTTATTCGTCTCGATTTAACACCATTTTTCGTCATAGAAAATTTGGTCACCATTTAAATCGTTATTTCCATCAAATGAAAAAGTTCGTTTTTAATTGCAAAATTTAGTATTTTTCAAAATATCTACGTCATAGACTGATTATTTCAATAATTATTAAATTTTGAATCATGAAACTGTGGAAAATGTGAACCATCAAGAACAGAGGAATAGAAAAATATATTATTGCAGCTTTCAATACTGAAAGCTACTAAAGCACACAAATCTGTAATAATAATTTGGAAGATTTATTTTGACATAGAACCGAAAATATATATTATTTTTAAAATTAATTTTTATCACTAATTTTAAAATAAGCTTTTTTTTCAATTGCAACTTGAAATCAAAAGAGCAGATTATGCTAACTTCTCTTACATATCAGGTTTAAATGATTGCTTGAGAAAATATTTCAAATCACAAGTTTATAAAAATTAATGTTTTTTTCTTAACTACTGATATATACTATGTTTATACTTTTTTAAATTTATATTCATAACTGAGATCAAGATTTGAGAATAAAGAAATATTATGAGTCTTTTAATTAGATTTCAATATTTTATTGAAATTATTCATTTCTAAAAAATATTTCATTTTTTAGGCGAAAACTATACAATTTTAAATTAAATGATTTTGGGATATAAAATTTTCATTTGCGAAAAAAATTATCACTAGTGAGAAGTTGATAGACTATTTGATAAAATCCTACTCGATCCATTCAGCCCTTAAACAGTCATATCCAATACTAAAATCCAGGATTACCTATTAATGATAAAGATTTTAAGGAATTTTGTCCATTAACAAAACAGAAAACATGGATAAATTATTTAGAATTAAAATCTAGAACTAAGTGCAGGATTCTCCACCTCTCATTTTACATATAAACATATTTCTAATAAGGAACATCAAATAAATAATTTCTTGATACAGAAGATCAAAAGTAGTGTAAATTATATTCAATTTCAAAAATTTTGTAATTCTAATATTAACTAATGCCACCAATTCATAAGTAACTACTATTAGGAAAGTATGGTTAGAATAAAATAAACATCAAGAATGCAGAAAATTAGGAAAACAATAAGATTTATTATTCAAGTGTTACTGATAATATATCAAAAATAACTATTATTTGATATTATATCCTTGTTTAATCTGTGTGAATATTCATTTTAATTTTTCTAAATAATGAGTAATTCATTTGTTACATAATTACTTTAT